TAGGTGCACACTTCCCGATGGCGTCAGAAAGTGTGACTTTTCCAGCCAATGACAAAGAGGTTTAGGAAAGTGACTTGCCCATATAAAAGGCACTTTCCTAAACATTTTGAGTAGTTTTTGCAACTTGAGAGAAACCTCTTCAAGAACATTTGCAAAGGATGCTAGAAAACAAAGGCAGAAGTATTCCAACAACAACAACAATCTCTGGAGCTTTTCGTATAGTTGTTTAGGAATACATTCTCTTGTTCGTAAACTGTAAACCATTCCTCAATCTATAAAGGAATTGTTGTGTAGTGTTAAAAGTCTAGGTTGTCCAAGTGGGATAATTTAGTGAGTAGATAGTTTTCTACTTAGGCTTGTTAAGCAAGAGGGACTATTGCTTAACTGTAAGATTGAAAACTCTTTCTTGCCTTTGGTGTAATCGTGTTTTACTTTTGCTTTTGAAGATTAGTGAAAACGATTGAAAATCCTGTGAGACAGGTCGTGGTTTTACTCCCTTAAGCAAGGAGATTTCCACGTAAAATCATTGTGTTGATTTTACTGCATTTAACTTTCTGTTTTATTCATTAGTGTAGTAAGGGACCTGGTCCATTACTTGTTAAGTGAAGGCATATATTCTATCAATAGATATATAATCATCTATGACATATAATATATTATATCTATATGATTATATACTATTTATATAATACTGATACATTGCGTATACGTATGTCCGTTTTTGTTGATTTCATTATTTGTACATTTGCATAAGAAACACTTATTTATTAACTCAGTCTAATCTATTTCAGCCCAACAAAGTTTGGACTATCAAGTCCCAATTAGTAATAAAAAGAAACTGAAAAAATTTAAAAATATTTCATTTTATTTGATATGTTACATAAAATCATAATAAAAAAGAGAACAAAAAATAATTTAACTTGGTAAAAATCGAACAGCCTGAATTATGATTCACATTTTAAACTTGTTTCACTCAAATAATTTTTAAAAGTCAACCCATCCATTTTCTACCTTTACTTGCATTCAACGTCAACGATCCAATAAGGCAATCAACCATCATTCAACTTGCAAAAGGTTGTTTCCTTTTATCAACTAGGTAACTATCCAGGTTGTTGCCTTTTGTCCTTTAGTGTGCTATAAATAATCAAACAAATTCAATTGAATTAGACAACATTTGTTATTAGAATTAGGAAAAAGGTTCTCATATTAAGTATCGAATTGGGTAAGGGTTTCAATGTATGTGTAGGACAGGATCATGTCGGTTGATTCAAGCGACCCCTCAAAAAGCTCTTGTAAGAGCTTAGTGAATGAATTTATCAGCTAAGTTTGTCCATTATCCTGACAAGATATATCACGATTTTGATTACATAAGTAAAATATTGTATCATTATAAGACTCACACGGTGATTGTCAGTTAGAGAAACTTCACAGAAAAGTGAAATTACGTTTTTTTCAGTATGTTATTCATGCATATTTTCTGTCATAAAGTTTTGTTGTTAATGAACACGTAAATGCATTACTATCAAATCAATTTAAATTCATTCTTTCTTCACAGTTATTTGTTTAGTTCAATATGTTCAATTTTAGCCTTTTGTTACATTCAATTATTTTACATATCGTACAGTCTATTTACTGATGTCGTTTAGCAAAGCTTTATATTATGATGCATATTTAGATATTCACAACATCGAATCATCAGTGAGACCAAGATACTTGCACACAAGGCTCTAGTTTATCTAGCATACTTGTGGTTCATATATATTGTTAAGAGTTTAGTTAGTCTTATGTCTTCTCCCAATAACCTCTCTTCAGTGTGTTAGAGGCTTCATTAACAAGTTAGTTGAGTTATTGTTTGTATGAGAAAATGTCATAAGTAGTCATTTAACTATAGGAGTAGGTCTCTAAAATGGTCTATTTACTATAGTTTTGTCGGATTTAGTCCTTTAACTATTTAAAAACTTATCAAACTCGGTTCCTTAATTATATGTTTATCGATTTTAGTTTTTTTTAACTATAAACTAACGAACTTAGTCCTTTAAGTATTTAAAATCTTATCAGGTTTGGCCACTAACTATTTTATATACAAATAACCTAGATTTATATTAACAAATCCATGTTTCAAAAAAATAATTTTTTAAGCCATTTTTTCTATTGTTTCTTTCTCCCAACTACTTTTACTTCAAATTAGCCTTATGCAGAGAACCTTAATCTCAACGATTCAAGATAAAATTCACAAGTAAAGAAAATATAAGTAATAATTTCATTCAAAAGACAGTAAAATGAAGCATATTATTGCTCTTAAGAACTTGAATATGCTAAACTTTATTATAAGAGGAAAAAATATTATCCATTGAATTCAAAAGTTGTACTCGAACAACTTTATTAAACAGATCGGTTTAATTTTTCAAAGGTTGAAATTTATAAAATGGTAGATTGGTAACCTTTTTTTTTTTATAAAAAAAAAGTAGATTGATTTTATTATTATGTTCATCTTATTTTACGTAAAGAAAATTGAGAACTCATATTAATTGTTCTTTCCATGAAAAATTGAATTTAAAATATTTACGCGGATTCTATATCGTTAACCTCCAAAGAGGAAATACCATATATTCACGTCATTAATAACAATTGTATGCTTCATTTTATCGTCCATTGAATAAAACTACGACTTTAACTTCTTTCCTCATTAATTTTATTAGAAATTGTTGAGATTATAGTTCTTTTAGTAAGAGTAATTTGAAGAAAAAGTAGCGGAGATAGATAAACAACTTAAAAAGGGAAAAGTATCTAAAAAATATTTCTATTTTAATCGAAATTGTTGTTACGATACCAAACTTTATGTAGGATCTTTTATCCCTGTACTATTTAATAGTGTATTTTAAAGGTATATTTGTGCCTAGTGAATACATTAGTATTTATAATTATGTAATATTTTTTATGTTCATGTGGGCACATATGCATATCTTTAAAATATACTATTAAATGGTGAAAGGAGTAAAAGGTCATTTTCAAAATTTGATATCGTTACAACAATTTCGATCAAAGTTCGAATATATTTTTTCACTAAAAAATGGGTTAAAGATTCATTTTATGAATAGGTTAACTACTTATAACATTTTCTTTAATTTTCACCATATTTTAGAAACTTTAAAATACACTATTAAATAGTGCAAGGACAAAAAATCATTTTCAATGTTTGACATCATTACAACAATTTTAATCAAAATTTAAATATATTTCAAATCTTTTCTCCACTTAAATTATCTTCACTGGGTTAAAAATTTATTTCACGAAGAGCTCAACTATTTATAACATTTTCTCTAGTTTTCACCATTATTTTAGGAAAATATTCATATTATAAAGATCTTAAAATTTTAACTATCAATCATCTTTTGAAAAATCCATATAATTATAGCTCTCAATAAAATAGAAAGCCGTACCAAGAATTTTGTATCAATAATAGTTCTGACCTCTGAATATGATAATTTATATGGATCATTATTATCTATTTTCTCGTATTATATAGTTATTGTATCTGTGATATTTCTTTTTGTTATTTAAAATGTATTATATTATATTGTTATATTTTATTGTTACGTTTCAATGAAAATTTTTTAGAATAATTGATTTGGTATGTTTTCCTTGTTACTTAATTTATTTTTCAATTATATTCTAGCATAATATTTCATAATACTTCTTTACCTTTTACCCTATATTATTTAATTCTAATCATATCTCCTACCCTAAAATAATTAAGGATATATTAGTAAATTTATAAATTACAATACCTTTTCGAAAAAAGACAAAAAAATTGTGAACATTAAGCCAAGAGACCACTTTAGATTCATTACATCTTCCACCTTCTGAATCAAAGATTTACTCACTGCCAACAAAAACATACAATATTTTCTAGTTTAAATCGATTCACTAAGCAAGTTAAAAGCCTTATTACGCAATTCTACCAGTGTATAATACATTCAACATTTTCAATATTAAACGCTTTTGGCAAGCCAGAGATAGACTTCTTTGTGGGAACCTCCAGTAAAGGAGACCTGTCTAGTCAAATAGTCTTCTAATAAGAAATAATTCATTACTTATGCAATAATAATTTTCATTTTCGTAGCTTTATATATCTCTCATCTAATCGAGATTTCTTAAGAAAAAGAGATCAAATCTGTAGTTGTAGTTTCTATACGTCAATCCAAATAATAAAAATGTTAATAAACAACAACAAATAGTACAAACTAATCAAATATTGTATCTATAATAGAGTACAATACAATACAATTTATTATGAAATAATAAGTATCCAAATAGAGCGTGCGTATATTTGTTCTGTCAAAGGCTCAGCTCTCCAATCTCCTTATAATTCCAGATGCTGTTTTTACGATTACAACGACATAATATAGATTTTAAAGAGATTTTTACTGAGGTAGCCTTTCACTGGGACTTAGAGCCTGTTTGGCTCAGCTTAAAAGCTGGTCAAACTGACTTAAAAGTTGATTTTTGACTTATTTAGCTGTTTGGCAATACTCAAAACAGCTTATTTTAAGTTAAAAAAATTTATTTTAAGCCAAAAGTTAAAAGCTGGGGTAGGGGTGTTTTTTTTTTTAGCTTATAAGTTGTTTTAAGTTGACCACATTTTTATCTTTTTGTGCTTAATATTTTTATACAATCTCCAAATTACCCAAATAACCCTAACATTTCTTTCTTCCATTTTTCCCTTTTCACGTTTGACATAACAATTTCAGCACTTTTATCCAAACGTATAACTATTTTTTTAAAAATAAGTTTCAGCACTTTTAAAAGTATTTTTTTAAAACTGCTTTTATTAACCCCATCCAAACGGGCCCTTAATCCCTTGCAAGTACACAAAATTGTTTTGAATAAAATTGGTGCAATGAACAAGCTGCTTCCTATTAAATGTCTATGCTCTAAAATTTCTATATTATAAGATTGAACAAATATAAGATTGATTGCTTATTTACATTAAATAACGCTTAATGAAAGAAATTATTAAAGATTAAAGATCCAAAGAGACACATAATTATAATCCTAATTCACCTCAGACTTAGTTTATAGTCAGGTGCATATTCATCAAATACTTATAATCCAAAATTATATCATAACAAGCTGAGATAATGGTGACAATGGTGGCACCTCAAAAATACCCTTTTCATCCCAAATCGTCGACCAACTTGACGGTGTTAATGGAGCCGCCGCCGTTGGGAGTACTCTTTCTTCTTCTATTTTCCTTTCCTTCTTGATTACTAATTCCTCTGTTTCTCCTCTCACCCTTTTACTGCCTGACGACTTCATCTCTGTTTTAGTCTCATCATTTTGTTGCTTAAAGTTTGCAACTTCGAGTGGGAAATTCAATATTGCTTTGCTTCCTCTAAGCTTAAACGCTGCCCTGTCATATGCCTTTGCCGCATCCACAGCAGTATCAAATGTTCCTAACCAAACTCGAGTCCCCTTTCTATTTGGGTCACGAATCTCCGCTGCAAACTTCCCCCATGGCCTCTGTCTAACTCCCCTGTAATGCTTCTTCTCAATCTCAACGTTCTCTACAACAACAACAGGCTTCGCCGGTATTGCTACGTTCAGAGATGGCTTCCGTTCTCTCAAGTTACTCTGTTTCGGAGAATTTGAATGGATAACATGTCGTTTTGCCTCAAATTCGAAAAAACCATCATACTCTGTTTTTGAAGTAGCATTAAAGAAGCTTGCGATGTCATCAAGATTTGAAGTTTGAGTTGTTTCAAAAGAGAAACAAGTCTGGTCCAGAGATTCATCAAAAAGATGTTGCCTAATCAAATCAAGTGAAGTACAAGTCTCTTGTGGAGAACCCATTTTTTTCTTTAAAGGGAATGTTAAAATTCAAACTTGTGTGAGTTGAGTGGAAAAAGAGTGTGTTGAGGGTTGATTATATAGAGTGGAAATTTGAAGATTGAGAAGAGGGTTCCTAGGAGGCCTCTAAGATGGAGAGAGGAAGCATCATGTGGGGTGGGGTAATTTATAAACCTTTATTTTACTGTTGTACACCAATTAAATATTGCTAACCCGTCTATTATTAATTATCATATTTTTTATTTTTAAAATTAAATTATTAAAATTTTGATTAATATTTTACGATATTTTTTTATAATATTAATATGTAAAAAGTTATAATGTATAAAATATAATATTTTTTGTATAATTTTTGAATATTTAAATTTTTTATTTAGTATATTGAATTAAGATACTAATTTAACTATAGATATAAAAATATAATATGACAAATAAAAATAAACGGAGAAAATATATGTTATAATATTATTATTTCAAAGAAATGATGTGGGACAACAAAGTGATGATGTTTGCTTTGTTTGTTTGTCTCTTTTGTTGTTGTTTTTCAATTAAAAAAGTTGGGTATTGATGGATGAGTTATCTCTTCCACCAAGAGTTGTATTTCTAGGTTGCTTCTATTTTTCCCTTTTTCTAAATCCTGTTTAATGAGGAGATAACTATCCACAATATTTTTGAACTGGGGGTAAATTATGATTATCGTTTTTGAATTATTAATAAGTTTAAAAAAGTATTTTTTTTATTTGATTAACTAAATTTAAATATATTATTTATTTGTTCTATAATATAGAAAGTTGGTGTTTAAACTTTTATAGAAGTATAAAACTTTTAATAAAAAATTGAAAAGAAGTATTGAAATATCCCTACATATTGACAAAAATTTAAGGGGTATATTTTATTTATGTGCAAGATCTGATATATATATATATATATATATATATAAACACTCACATTTTTTAAAATGTCAATAATTTGAAAATGAAACTAATCATTCGCGATGAATTTGAATTGTTACAATACTTCTCGATCTCTTAGTTTTTTTATTAATGTTTAACTAAATTGTGTGTTGGTATATTTTTTATTAAAACTTTTTATGGTCGTACAAATACTATGAAATACTAAAATCACACGTTTCAATAAATCTAAAAGAATAGAAAATAAGATCACAAAAATTTGAAAATGTCAAACGTATCAAATTATAACAAATAAAGTGAAGTAAAGATTTTATACAATATATGGACATAGAACAAGAGGAAAAACTTGAGATCTTTTTTATCTTACTATATAAACACATCTAAATCGAAATTGTTCACATTTCAACAGATTAGGTGAAATTTCTTTTTATAAATATTTAAATTATTAATTATTATAATTTACAATATTTTTTACGTAATTTATAAATATACAAATTTTATTTAAATAAAATCAAAATTTTCATGCACAAATTTACAATTAAACTTAATTTATTTAATTTTCAAAAAATAAAATATATCGCATAAATCTACTATTTTATATAAAGAATCTAAGAGAGAAGTGGAATACTGAGATACTACAAGTAGATCCTATGTAACTTTTAGCACAATAATATATATGGAAAATATTTCTTTTAAATCAGTGAATATTATTTTAACACAAGTTGAATACGAAAATGGACTTCCTTTTTTTTTTATTCTTATGAAAAAGACGTAGTATTTTATATATATGCTAACGGGTAATTATAGAATGTGACCTTTTTTGGGTACCTTCTCTGAAGGATCATTATTAACTTAATATAAGAGAAAAGAGTCAAAAGTATCTTTTATAAGTGTATATAATTTATAAAATTTTGTTAGGATTGAATTCACGCACACATACTAGATGAATGAAGAACACAAGAACTTTCAAAAGAAAGAGATGAGAGATCTAGAGAGAGAAAGAGAAAACCCAATATTTCGTGGTAAAACCCCGTAAGTAAACTTCCACGGCGGTGAGGTATATTTATATTAATAAATCAGAGTATTTTTGGTTACAGAGAATAAATAGGAAAACCTAAAAT